GGCACTCCAGGTTCGCCGGGATATCCAGGGACATCGGGTTCTCCAGGCTCTCCGGGATATCCGGGATCCCCAGGAACACCGGGTTCTCCAGGCACTCCAGGTTCGCCGGGTAGTCCAGGCTCTCCGGGATACCCAGGAACACCAGCTTCTCCGGGTAGTCCAAACATTCCTGGATCTCCTGGAAATCCAGACTCACCGAATTCACCTGTTAATCAACCGTCAACAGGTACAATAACCTGAAATATTATATATGTGTATACTATAATTTCATTATTAGATTCCTATTATAATTTCACTTTTTTTTTTTACTTATAAATAAAATCTTATTTTAGGTATTTGTACAGTAGAAGGCTTTTTCTCTGATCCACAAGATTGTCGCAAGTTTTATCGGTGTGTCGAAAATGGCATGTCCTCCTTTATAAAATACGACTTTGAATGTGGTGCTGGAACCGTTTGGGATTCGTCCATTCAGAGTTGCAATCACGCAAATGCTGTACCGCATTGCAATCAGGCAAATAGTGCAATTACAGATAAACCAGACACATCGCTGAATGAAATAAATAGTACAATTGGACCAGATCCAAGCAAATTACCATCGCAATCTTCTGAAAGCTCGACATCTTCAAAACCAGAGATACAATCTTCGACTCAACCTGATAGCACTACCGGTAATCCCATTGCACCATCTCAGACGACGTCAACTTCTTATTTGCCACCCAGTAGTACATACTCTTCGACAATGCAAGTTACCGAATCTGTTTCTTATGTTCCTCCTGCAACACAAATGACTACTACATCTGTATCTTATTTGCCACCTTCGACTAGTACCAGCGGAATATCTGAATCTACACCCGAATCTGTTTCATATTTGCCAGTTGATACTAGTACAACAACTTTGCCAAGTTCTGCTTCGTCAGCTGCATCTTTACCTCAGAATGAAAAATATAAGTGTACTAAAGAAGGTTTCTTTCCGAATCCTGATAACTGCAAAAAATTCTATCGTTGCGTTCAAAACCAATCCGGATATCAAAAATACGAATTTGAGTGCGGTCCTGACACAGTATGGGATCAATCAATACAAACGTGTAATTATATTGATAAAGTAGCTTCATGTTCATCAGGTAGCAATCAAATCGATCAAGGCCTTGATTCCAGTACTCCTACATCTGAACTCCCTGCCATGAGTAGTTCCACAATTGTTTCTAGTCAAACAATTGCAACTACATCTCCAATTCCAATTTCTACCGAAAGCACTACAACTGCCAGTACTCCAAGTGAAACATCAGACAAGACAGAATCATCATCGACAACAAGTACTATCACAACTGTTAGTAGTAGCGAAAATCCCGCTTCAGAAAAACCAGAAGAGGTTCAAATGCCTGATTCTAGTACAGAAAGTTCATCCGAATCCTCATCTGAATCTACTTCTGAATCAAATGAAGGATCATCTTCATCTACATCAGAGTCACATGCACCAGATTGTGCGACACAAAACCCAAGCAACGCAATAGTATGCAATAACGAAGGATTTTATCCGCATCCAACTAACTGCAATAAATTCTATCGCTGCGTCAATAATGGCAATGGTTTCAATGTACATCATTTTGATTGCCCACCAGGTACTATCTTTGATTCTAGCATCAGTGCATGTAATTATCCTGAATCTGTTTATCCCGCAAAAGATTGTACAACTGGAAATACTTCAAGCAATGTAGAATCGACAACTCAATCCGGAACGTCTGAACAATCGACATCAGAGGGAACTGCTACTGTAGCTACACAGAGCACAACTCAACAGCAAACAGAAGAAAGTACAACCACAACGACTGAGCTTGATACATCTACTTCAGAAGAAAGCGCTCCCACTTCTACAGAATCAACGATATCAAGTTTACCGGAGAGTAGCGAAAGTATGATAGAGTCTACGACTGAATCCACTAGTGCCACTACAGAAACCGCTTCTAGCACTTCTGAACAAAGTAGCGAAGCTGCTATAACTGAAGCTGCTGCTTCCACAGAATCCGGAACGTCTACGACTGAATCTCAAGAACAATCTACGGAATCTCAGGAACAATCGACAACTGAAGAATCCCAGGAACAATCGACAACTGAAGAATCCCAGGAACAATCAACAACAGAATCAAAAGAACCATCTACTACAGAAACTCAAGAACAATCAACGACCGAATTACAGGAACAATCCACGACAGAATCTCAAGAACAAACAACGACTGAATCATCAGAATCGACAACAGCGGAACAAGGAGCACCTTGTTCTGTAGGCAATTTAACTGACGATCAAATAATTCTAGTTTGTCCCACTGGCTTCCGAAGGCATCCGAAACATTGTAATCTATTCTATCAATGTGCTTCCGAAGACAACATGGAAATAAAGATTCTCGTATTGAGTTGTCCCGAAAATACCATTTTTGACGAGAAAAAGATTCAATGTCTACCCGAAAGTGAAAGCAGTCAGCCATGCATGGGAACCAAGACAAGCGCCAGATTTTATAGAAGATTAGAAGATCATGCTTTATCACCTGTAAGTATTTTCAATAATCAACTAAATAAACTTATAACAAAAATATTTATTACAAAATCTTTTTTCAATTTTAGGTAAAAGTATCGTCAAATCAGCTTTGTCCACAAGAAGGACATTTTCCTTATCAACAAGGTTGTAGCAATACCTTTTACAAGTGTAAACGCGATGTCCGAAACAGTTTACAGGGATATCTCTATAAATGTCCCGAAAATTTTGTTTATTGGTCAGTCTCCAGAAGATGCGAACGTGTGACACGTCTCCCAATGTGTTCGCATTTGTCGTACAGAGACAAAATTGACTGGAATGATCGATGGCAAATACCGATCGAAAATTTTAATCTTTCCGCCAGAATGTTACACTTCTCTTGATTGCTTAATAATATTTCCTATATTCTACACTCTTAGTAAATACGAGTTGCAGATTTGCCATAATAATATCTATAGAAAACATATATTTTTTTAAATTAATTGTCATTCTCGATAAAAATTTGGAGTAATTGAATATACACGAAGAATTAGCAAAATTACAATATTAGCAAATTAATAATGATATTAAAAATAAATATGCTAGAGTAATTGCATATTTAAATGAATGATTAATACAATGTGTATATGATGTTTGTTTATCTTTTTATAAGTTATAAAACATTCCTAAAATAATATTCTAATTAAACTTTTTGCTTATTCTGATGCAAAAAGTTATTTTTGCTAGTGCAAAAATATATATGTATTATTAATTTCCAATATTTTACAATACTTTATGATATTTATAATAACAACATGGCTACGGAAGATCTCGATTAAAAATTTAATAATAGATCTTCCGCAGTCGTCTTGGATGAATTATTGTCGAACTGCCATTACGCAATTTTTAGTCAGTAATAGTTATGATAGTGAGTCTATTAATAATTATTGACAAATGTGAGTAATTTTGCAATGTGTGAATTGAGTACAAGAACAAATTTTCATTATAGAATTGAGGCATTATTTATTTTTGTTAATATATCATGTAATTTAGATTATTATTTCATTATCACTAAATATCAAATGAAATAAAATATATGTAAAAGGAAATATATATGAAATATATTTGCAAAAGTAAATAATTTTCAATTTTCATAGAATTATCATTCAGTATCATTATTTTCAATTATTAGCATTTGATACTGGGGATGGTTGCGGGACTTGTATGCAATATTCTGATTGTATAACGCAAGATGCTATTTTATATTTATTAACTGAATTTCATATCTCGCATAGAAAATATTCATGAAAGACACATCATTAAAAAATGTATAATTTTGCTAAATATGGCAGCTAGTTGTTTAGGATATATTGTGTAGAAATATTCACGCGCAATGTACACGCGTTTTGTACATATATCTTGACAAGTAATTTCTGGTAAGAAGTCAATGCTTTCTCACGACATATTCCAATACATTTATCAAATATTTATAGTATATGAATAAATTAAGATCAATACTTGTTCACTTAATTCTGTGACGTTTGCATGTTTATATTTGATCTCTACATAAAATTTGTATTAATAAAAATTGTATGTGATAAGAATATCGATATTTTATTTTCCCGTCCTTTTACGTCAAAATACTTTTTAGTTTAAAATTTTGCTTTAACATTTCTTCTAAATATACATTTATATGTATATCAACCATCATCAATAAGACAAAATACTCAATAATATTAAAATCACTTTTCTTTGTATACGAGTATAAAAAGTTAAAGTTCAAAAAATTTTACTGTATATTAATAACGTGTCTTCCCAGAAACTATCATAGCTAGAATAAGAAGTAATAAATAATCATTAATAATATATTGAAATAAAAAACAATTTTATATAGATAAAAAATGATACTCACTCTAAGATTGCTCCGCCGGTGCCTAATCAATGTTTCATCCAGATCTCCTCACAAGACACTCACGAAAAACACTCGCGGATAATATATACTTAATTATTATTAATAAAAATCTATCGCACCACACTATATACTCCGCGTTTATACAAAGTTCATTAATGTCAACGATATATTTATTACTTTCAAAACAAACGCGCGACGTGACGAACCGGCCGATTCCTTCATATTCACTTAAATCGGCGACGAGGCTAATACGTTAGCTTCCCTCTTGGATTATTTTTACACATAGAGAACGATTTTGTTCAAGTATCTAAAAATTTAGTTACATAGAAATTTTTAAATATTTGGGAAAAACCATTCTTTTCATGTATATTTCGTAGTAATGAGCCCTCCCACTTCGCCAAGATCATACCCGTGAGAGGGAAAATATCATCTGAAATATACAATATACAAAATTATCTATTACTATACAATCAATTCACTTGTAAAAATGAAAATGGCGATTACATTATATCAGTTCGTGTGTGTGCGAAATAATTATTTAGGACAGATAGAAAGAATATGTGTATATATAAATCTCTTATATTACTTATTGTTATAATTTCTAATAAATCTGTAAAATATATATTATATATAATATTTGTAAGTATCAATCAAATGGATCACAGATTAATAAAAAAGAAAAACATTCCTTTTCTATTTGTCAGCTAATGTATTATCATTCCCGGTAAAATAATCGCAAAAATTTAATTTTTATACGCAATATCGCGAAAGATGCTTGTGAAACGAGAAATTTATTAAATTATTATTAATTACACAAACACTCTAGTTGTATTACTTTTGTAGTCGAGAATAGCGTCGCGTAAAATTTGTATAAGAATATATATTAATATTAAGTTGTATTTTATATAACTTGTGCAATATCGCATTTGATTGATTTCAAAGTATAATTATTGAGAATTATACTCAAGCAAAAGAAAAATTTTATGTTAATAAATATTTTTTACATTTTCGACAAACTCTCTGCTAATTTTACCGATAGTGTGAAAATGGAGTGCAGTTATGTAGTATCCATTTTGAAAATGAATATACTGGCGGTAGTATACAGGCGATTTCGACGAAAAAGCTGATCCCCCTCTTTTCTTCTTCTTCTCTTTTATATTGTGAATTTTAGATTCAAAAGAGAAAGGAAACCATCTCAGATTTCTCTCTGCTCCGGACGCTCGTTCGGCTTCGACATGCGCGAGCCTCGATAAATCCGGATCTACAATAGGTGTTGTAAGCCTTAAGCCTTAAGAAATTTACCTACAGAATGCGAAGAGAATAATTGATTGTGATTCGTCCATTCCTTATCGCTTAAAGCTTAAAAATCTATTGTAGATCCAGGATAATGGAGGAGTATTCAACTAATAGGTATATTTAATGTATATTATATGCTCATCCATTAACGTAAATTAACTGAATCTCGGTTCAACTTAAGCCGAAATCACACTACGCATTGAAGATTGAGGGTACAGTCAATGCGATGGTGCAAACGCTTTGAAGCGTTTTTTAATTAGTCAGTTTGTAA